CACTGCTGAGGGGAGCAGTGGGCCAGTCAAGAGAGGTCTGCCATGCCATGTGGTCACCTCCGGGGCAGGCGGGGATCAAACTCATGCGGAAGCGGCTTTAGATTCTCAGTGCTGTGCTTTAACCCGCTGCACCACTAGGGAGGGCCCAGAAGCTCCACTTTTTATCTCCAGCATTTACTATCTTCCTCATAAAAGCTACTTATGAACAAGCATCTCTAGGATGTGGAGATAGAACTGAGCAACATGAATGACTCTTTGGAAACATCAGTTGGATTGATAGAAAGCGGAAGGAGCAGGAGTATATCTCCCATGTCAGTCCTTTCCTCCTCAGAAAGTCAGCAAATTCTGTCACTTTCTCCTAAGAAGCCATTACTATCTGCACCATCTCCTCTAAAGCACTACCAGCCCAGGAAAAGTATTCAAAAATGGAACTTTGTTATACTCAATACAATAAAATTTCTTAGAACTCAGATTTTTAATTCATTGGTTAAGCAGGAAGTAAGATTTTAAAATCAGATTCCAGGTCAGAACACAAGACAGCAAACTCAAGGCAAAACATTTCTGTTACAGTATTACCAGGGCTATTTAAACAAAACTGATTCCATTTGAGCAACTGAAGTGGAAAATGACACCTGACTGGTCATTAAAAATGCTCACAAAACAGAGAAAGGAATAGTTGTGGACCCCAAGAACTCAGGGTCAGAATATGGTGAGGGCAAGTAAGCCACTCCTGAGACAGGGCAGAGCCAGTTTAAACCCTGAGGTCTGGCCTAACAACACACATTATTAAAACCTTCCCATACTAACGTAAGTTAAATATCAATTCCCCAGTAAACATTCCTTCCAGAAAGTTCCAACATTAGATGCATACAAAATGAAGCCATAAGAGTTGCTGGTAGCACTCAACCCAGCTAACAAACAACACTTGCCCAAGTCTCACTTGATACCAAAATCAATAAAAGATCACATTTCTCTCCACTTAGCTGTTACTTCACCACTGAATAGGACCCAAGAGGGCTCTTATCACAACCCCTTTCTATCTCCTTTTATTTGAAAAACCGATAAGGAATTTCCACTAAATTCAACCAGCCCTTTACTCCCCACAACCCCCCCCCCCAACCTTCTGAGTGCAAGATGTCTTTCTGAAATCGTATGACCACTTACCCTGACCAAACAACAGCTTTCATCTTCCCTGTGGACACTGTCCACGAACAGGATACTCCACCACAGAATGCACTTGGAAACATCCTCACATCATTGCAAAGGCCTCCTTCCTCGCCAGAGTGTCTGGCTTTTTAGGTCATTCCTTGCTCCTCGCCTCACAGGATTCTGGGTGCCCATTAGCAAAGTGTTTTCACCTGTGGCATCTCACCCTGCGTCTCCACAGCAGGTGACTTTCATCCAAACTTAATGACTTCAAACCAAATAGCTTATCCCCTCCCCATGATTAGTGTATCTCTGGGTCACTGCCTCCTCCTTTTTCTTGAGAAAAAAAATAGAAGTGTACCCTACTCGCACAGAGGGTGAGAGAATTCAGAGATTTAAAAGTCCATCCTTGGCCCTCCCTGGTGGCGCAGCGGGTTAAAGCACAGCACTGAGAAGCTAAAGCCACTTCTGCGTGAGTTCGATTTCCGCCTGCCCGGGAGGTGACCACATGACGCGGCAGACCTCTCCTGACCCGCCCACTGCTCCCCTCAGCAATGTACTTCGTCGATCTGCCTGTTCTGCTCCCCACTCTGTCTCTGGTGAAGCCTCTCACCGCCCCTGAGCCTCTGGCCTGTACCCCAGTTCTGTATGCACAAATAAATCTTAAAAAAAAAAAAAGTCCATCCTTGGAGGAGGAGAACAGGGAGTAAAAAGACAAAACTAGCAGGCTAACTATAGACCAGAGACACTCAGCTAGGGAGTAGGAGTGAGAGATCAAAACAGGGGAGGGGAGAGCACAAGGGACCGTAGTGCAGGTGCACAGGTGTCTTGGTAGTGGTAATTTTATGGGGATTACAAGTTTGGGAGAAATCGAACTTGCACAAAAATGAACAACGATGTGAAAGTATATAAATAAAATATAAACAAATAAAAGTCTGCCCTTGGATTTCTGAACAGTTTTTGGTGATTGGAAATTATTTCTAGCAGTTTCTGAGTGACTAGCACTGAGATGCTATGCAAGTCACAATGGCACAGAAGAAGATGCCTAGAAATCTGGGAGGCCAGGCATGGGTTGGGACAGATCCTGGGAGAAATGAGGAAGGTGTTCTAGTCACCAGGATTAAATATGATTTCTAGGGAAAGCATTTACTCACAAACGTTTCTCTCCTACTTTGATTTAAAAGCAAATATTTTACTTCAAATAGGCTTATTACCAGTACCATACAGCTCAGCTTAATTTTTTGTACACAGCCCAGCATTTATCAAGCTCGTGGTAGATTCCACACACTGTGCTTCATACACTGACACAAATCAAACTATTTCTAAATGAGATAGGGCCCAGCCCATCCTTGAAAAGAAAGGAGTGTGCAACTAAGGCCAGGCCCATCCCTTTTATTTGTGCTGCCTGGGGCAGGATCACAAAAGAGGCCCACATAATTACTTTAAAGTGCTAATCAAGCTCACCCCTGGAACAGAATCCTCCTCCCTTGACAAATCAAGCTTTATAACAACCTGGAAGGCCAGGTACAATTAGAATTCCAGATCCTGAAGGGACAGGGCAACCCTGGCCAATCAACAGAACCCCTCCCACTCCACAGCCAGGTTCACTTCTTCCCAAGGGGGCCTCTGGAGCACGGTTGCTGCTGTCCAGCTGACATTTCCAAGAAATTTCCACACCCCAGAACAGCTGCCCTCTAGACCCTCCTCTGAGATAGGGACTGCCCTCCAGTTCAGCATAGCCCTGAAGGAGGCTTGGGGTTTGGTCAAAAGCCTCCCGCGTGGTCTTGTGGGAGGAAAACAAGCTGGGGTGGCCAGATTCTGGGCTCTAAATTCAGGGAATGCGTGCAAGGGTCTGAAGGCAATACTGACTAAAGTCTTCTCTATTTTAGTTTAGATAGATCACATTTCTTGAAGCTTTCTGGGAGAGTGATTCTCATACTAAAGATGAATAATCGGATCAGAGAAGAGGGTTCTTGTCTGTAAAGGATGAAAGAAAGTTGGAAGTACTTGCAAGCCATCTGCAATAGAAAGATGTATCAGCGAAATCCTAAAGAGAAAGGTTAAGATTCCTTAAACAGCACTTGCATTAAACAGAGGAAGTCAGAAGAGGGGGAACCCTTGACCTCTGTAAGGTGTGCAAACCTTAAATGTTTTCTTCGTTTTTGAAAGTGTGGGTCCTACTAGACTCAAAAAAGCCTATTGAAGATGTAGCTAGTTCAGGCGACTCAAGCTCCCCGCAGTATCGGTCAGTTGCAAAGATTAAGGCCTCCCCACGGGAGTCTTCTGGGAGATAGACTAGGGTTTGGCCTTGACCCCAAAACTGAAATGACATCTGCTTTGCCTTTTCTCGGGGGGGGGGGTAGGGGGGGTGGCAAATTTATCTGCTTTGTCTTTTCTCGGGGGACAAATTCACCTTTTTCCGGGCTTCCATTTTCAATTCTCTAAAATGGGACTGATACCTAGGTGCCATAGGCCACATACGGTGGGGTACACAGGTTTTAGGGAGAAAGGTAAAGCTTAACAGGTGAGAAAAAATAGACTCGTCCAGGTTCTTCTTAGTCTTGGTTTTGACGGAGGAAGAGGATGCCCAGCTGGGGGTGTAAAAAACAGGCGCCTAAGGCCCCAAGTTACCAGCATCCCCGAGCCCCTGGGAAAGGAGGAGGAAGCGGTGCGGCCCCAGACCCAGCCGGACCCGGGCGAGGGGAGCGGCGGGGAGCGAAGCTCAGTCACTCACCCAGCAGCAGCAACTTAAGCTCTCGGCGCGCGTCCTTCTTGTCCCGGCGAAGTTGCCGCTCGATCTCAGCGCTGATGCGCTGTGATTCCTTCTGCTCGGCGGACAAGCAGCAGCAGCCGGCCATGGTGCGCTCTGTACGGGACCCGACCGGACGACGCAGCCCTAAGCGCCCAAACCGGCAGTTTGCCGGATCGATCTGCGACGGGCACGGGGTTCGGAGACGAAAGACTGAGTCCGACTGGAGTTCTCTGCGGGACTCAATCAGTCCTGGTGGGTCGGCTGGAGGCGAAGGCGAGTGCTGGAAACGCTCTAGCGCGCCCAGAATCCGCGCTCACCCGCCCCTGTCCGGTCTCAGGCAGGCAGGCTAGCGGAGTCAAAGTGGTGCGGGGCCCCGGAAGATGCGCGCGTCCCTAGGTACAGGAAGCCGACACCCAGCCTGAGGGGCTCAGGCTGCGCGTAAAAAGTTGGGCGTTGGGGCGGGAGGAAAGCGGGATCTCCGGACTTAAAGTTTTCCCAAGCGAGGTGAAAGTACGTTGATGGCAGGAGGCAAAGGGCCTGCGTGGCCCTTGTCTGGAAAGTTACGAGAACCTCAGCTATGACCGCAGACTAAAGGGAGCGGAAAGGTTTGCAGGCTTTAGTGGCTCCAAGTAGCAGGAGGCGGAGCGTCAGAACCTGCAGGGCTGGCGTCTGCCCGAGTTAGTCTTCGGGGTATGCCAAGATAATGGCTCGGGGTGGGGGGCGGGGGAGATGTGCTAGCAGCAAGCTGGGGGCAGGGGTGCTAAGACCTGGAGCCGGGTGCCTCTGGGAACTGTCCCTGCATTGCCTCCCGGGACTGGCGTCTCGGCGCTGGGAGGACCGCCTGCCCAGGCGGCTGTAACCAGCGCGCTCCGGCCGCCAGGCCCTGCTCTCTGCCCAGATCCGGGTTCGGACAGGTGAGAGAGTTTTCCAACTCCCAGTTTCAACCCCTCCCAGCTGAGAGGAGTGGAGCTCAGCCCAGCGCCCGCAGCCGCGGGACTCGCAGTTCCTGAAGGCAGGAGGAGCCGTTTATTCTGACCTGAGTTGAGAGTAGCACCCCAGCCTTATCGCCGACTCGCCGGGGCTTCCTAGATCGGCTAGTTCAGTTTCCTTGCCTATCCAGCCCAGTGCGACTTGGTCAAAGCCTGGTCAGCCTGCTTACAAGATGTGGCTGGGCCTGATCCCACTGACGCTGCGTTCAAAAAAGCAACTACCGTTGGGCTCGGATAAATAAGGGAAGTGCCTTCCTTATGCCTTCCTACATCACCCCAGGCAAAAGAAATGGAAAACAGCTGGCTACTTTGCATTTTATGACGGGGAAGACTCCTGCTTTGTAGAGTACTGACTAGTTACCCGCAGTATCTTCTCTGCCCCAGCCCTGGAGCCTGACAACCACCTTGCAAAGGTGTGTCTGCACAGCCATGTTGGCCAGGCTCCAGGTATGTCGGGTCATGATTGAGCTGCCATTAATAAAAATTTAAAAGCACCGTTTGTGCTCAAGTGGCAGCATCGAATGCACCTCCAACATCTGATATTGTCTTTGTGGAGTTTGAATCAGAGGGTAAAGAAGTTCACCAGAAAAGCAAAAAAGCCAAAGGTGGGGGTGGGGATTCTCTCATCCACATCAATCCTTGGTTTTTTTCCTCCCTTCTCCAATGCATATGCCATGTAAACACTTTATGGCCTTAGGCAATTAGCTAATGCTTCCTCTATTAAGACCAAGCATAAGTGCCTTTTATATGAGGATATATTTAATCAATTGAAACTGAGGAGCCTATTGAGTGGAGAGGGGGGTATGTGTCATTATATTAAGAGCTTAGCATAATGATGCTAACTGATAGCAAAGTTCTGTGACTTATTTTACAGTTTAGGAAATGTAGGCCTTAAAACTAAATTTGCAAGGTGTGGTATGAAAGGAGAGATCTATACCTCTAAAACAAAGTTGTAAATCAGCAACACTACAATGTAAGTGAATAGTGTGTAAATTCATCAATGCATGATTCTAGTTTCCTCTCAGGCATATATTGATAGTAACAGTGACCCCTACAGGAAAACTCCTGGATATTTCAAATTTGATTTTTGGCCAATTTTGATTTTTTGATTTTTGAATCACACTTTCCCTTAATTCTTACAGGTTCATTTATAATTTGGGAATAAGACTTATTGGTTTCTCAAGCAAATGGTTGAATGATAATTGTCAGTATTTTTTAATGATTAAAATGAGGGTAAATTTGAAATCCAAGTTAACTGGAATAACCTGTTCTTCAAAATTGTTAAGATTAGGGGCCCTTCCTGGTGGTACAACTGATTAAAGCACAGCATTAAGCAGCCACCTCAACACAAGTTCAATCCCCAGCCAGGGAGCTGACCCACAGGGCATAGCAGACCTCTCCTATCTCTCCCGTTGCTCCCCTCAGCAGTGTACTTCCTCCATCTGCCTGTTCTACTCCCCACTTTGTCTCTGGTGACTCCTCTCACCCTGCACCTTTGGTCTGTACCCCAATTCTGTATGCATAAATAAATAAATCTTAAAAAAAAAACAGTGTTGCTAAGATTTAAAAAATAGCAAACATATTTCTTATGGCAAATATGCAAAACCTGGGTGGGTGTTCAATTAGGCAGTATGTATCAGAAACCTTAAATATATCCATCACCTTAACCAACAACCCATGATTTATGCACAAAAGTTTTATTTCTAATAATAATGACAATTTAGAATGACCTAAATGACTAACAATAGAGGGTAAGTCCAAAAATTTAAGCTACACTAATACAATGAGCTCTTAACTATGTGACCATATGAGTAACAGGTAAATAATTAACAAAGATATAGGGGAAACCCTATATTGACTAAAAAAAGTTAAGATACAAGAATATCCATAGGAGGATCCAAATTTTATTATGGAAATGCACACATACCTTTTTAAAAGATTAAAGCAGCATACAAACAAGGTAATTACTCTGAGTCTCAGCTTTTCAGCTTCCTTTAATTCTCTGATATAACATTATTTGAATCAATTTGAATGAAGTTATCTAGCTAGCTGGGGTAAAACAGAAAAACCTAAAGGGACCTCCCAGCACAAAATCCAACTTTCTTTTTTTGATAATTTTCACACTTACAGTATTAAAAAATAGTCATAAATCTAAAATTGCTATTGAGCAGTGATGGCTAATGAGAATGAAAAAACTGGGATCTCACAAGTCAATTATTTTTATACTTCTATTTTTTTAATGTCTCCATTTTGCCTTATCTTTAAGATCTTGGGGTGGGATGAAAATAATTTTAAGTTCCTGATTCATCTGCATCATCTTTCCAGGAAGGGGTAGCTTTTACTCTTGGTAAAAGTATTTATTAATCTAGGTTATTCCCAAAGTACTGTAATTCCACTTTACTCCTCTTAAATATCAGAGCACACTCTGGAGATGAGTGTGAAAACCCTATTCTGGCTTACACAAGTTTATTATGTGTCTGTGGTTCCTCTGAATGTCCACTGAGCTCATAGCAGGCAGCTGCAGGATTCAAAAAAGATATTTCAGGCTGAGATAGGCAGCAAGTCTGGCAGAAAGAATTAAGGCTGAAGCCCTGAAAGCCTGCACTCACCTCTCCTAACTCCTACAAACAGTGAGCACAAAGTCCTCCCAGGGGACTTAACATGGTCTACAGCTGTGCATAGCCTGCTCCCTTCAGGTCAAGGGCATCTCCACCCTCTCCTGACACTTCAGACATAACTACTGTCACGCCCCACATGTCAGTTGACCACATAAAGCATGATAATCTCAAGATTCCTCTTAGCCTAGTGACATCACAAGAGTCTTAACACTGCAGCATTTTATGCGGCAGCAGATCCTATCTCCTGATCACCCGTCTCTTGGTAGCATCATTTTCCCACGTGCTCAATTTAATCTCATGTTGATTTGTTTCTGTGGCCAATGAGTATTTAGAATGTTGCATTCACAAAAGGATGAAATCACCTAGAGATGCATGTATGGGAATAAGGCCAGAGTACCTGTGTAATGCATGACTCTTTCAGCCTTCACATCTTGGCATATGCTATTACTTCTTCCAGCAGTCTGTTTACATTCCTTGCTCATTTTTTGAAAATAGGTCATTTTGGGCCCTCCCTGGTGGCACAGTGGGTTAAAGCACAACGCTGCAAGCTGGCTGCAGCCAATTCAGTGTGAGTTTGATAGCACCCCCCCAACCCCACCCGGTGATCCACATGGCTCAGCAGACTTCTCCTGTCTTGCTGGACGCTCCCCTCAGCAGTGTGCTTCATTGATCCACCTGTTCTACTCCCTAATCTGTCTCTGGTGAATCCTCTCACAGCTCCTGCACTGCTGGCCTGTACCCCAGTTCTGTATGCATAAATAAATAAATCTGTATGCATAAATAAATGAATAGGTCATTTTTTTTCTTGATAATCTGTAAGAGTTCTTCAGTAATGTAGATCAACTGTCATTTAAATTACAAAATTTAAAATATATTTTTGTCCTTCATTATTCTAATGGTATCTTTATCATTCTTGTGGATATTTTATATATATCCAAATGGCTCAGTTTTCTTTTTTAACTTCCAGAGTTCTGCTCTTTGTAAAAGGATCTCCCCATTTCTAGGTTTTATATTCAGCATCTTTGCTTTTCTTGCAAATTTTATTATTTTGTTTTAACATTTAAATGTTTAATCCATCTGGTGTTTATTTTTATAAAATGTGTAAGATAGGAGACTAATTTTATTTTCTTCCAGATGGATAGCCAGTTGTACCAACATCATTTATTGAATATGCCATCTTTTTCCTAGTGAATTAAACTTCAGTCTTTGTCATGTAGTACTCTATTTGACAGAAATGCATTCTTTGAGTTTATACTGGCCCACTGGGCTTTTTATTCCTATATGAACACCATTTTAATTAATTGCATCTTAATTATATTCCATAGAACATTTGATTTCTCAATATTCTAGCAAAAATTACAAAATTCTTATTGGCTGAGCTTGAGTCAACTGCCACCCCTTTGCCCCCCAATAATTCATTTTGAGAAAAGAACAGACATTTCTGCATTGGCTAAGATCGTATGTCCACCCACCAAGGGTGAAAGTCATTGTCATAATGT